TAGAGAATGAGGGTTATGGATGGGTGAGTGGAGAAGAAGGGGTAGAATGGAGAAAGGGTGGTGTGGATCTCTGTGGTGATGGAAGAGTTTTGTTCCTTCATTGTTTCAATGGCATTATCTTAGTTGTGATATTATAGTGTAGTTTTTTAGATGTTACCATTGGGAGAAACTGAGTAAAGAAGATGTGGGATCTTTCTGTAATATTTCTTACAACTGCATGTGAATCTACAACTAGCTCAGAATAAAAAGTTTAATTATAAGATAAAAGCTACATGAAATGAAGCAAAAAATAATTCACCCTTTTCATGCACACAGAGTCAGAGACTGTGACATAATTTGCAGGATCTAGTGCAGAATACAAATGTAAAACATCTGGTTCAAAAATTATTAATAATTTTGAGACCTTGATGATAAAGCATTAAACCACCTGTGGAGCGCTTTAAGCATGATGAACTGTGCTACCACACAGATTGCACATTCACATATCTGGCCCTGCAAATGGAATGAGTTTTGCCCATGATCCATTCACCACTGCCTCTTTGGCTCAGTGAATTTTCTTCTTCAGGAGGGTAATTTTCTCTTCTTTCTCTGCTAAGCTGTTTAACAGTAGTTGCCCTGCCTAATGGGCTTCATCCATTTCTCTCAGATCGTTTTCATGATGCACTAGGATGAAGCACACCCTTTCTCCTAGTCTTGAGGAAACATCGATATTCAGAATATTTAAATCCAGGCACTGACCAATCCGAAGAGTTTCTGGCCAATGTTCCACACTTGAGGGAAATGACATTATCTGAACCCTGAAGAAAAAGGTTGTAGATATTCTCCAGATCAAAGCATCGCCAGGAAGATTTTAGTTGTTGAAGTCCATAATATTTCCTAAAGCAGGTACGAATTACTAGTAACTTAACAGGTATATTAACTGATGAAGTTTTCATTTCTCAGAACAAACCAGTCAAGGAAGGTGCTATTATACTCCTTTTATTCATATAGATCTTGAGGCTGACAGAGTTTAATCAACATACTATAATTACTGTGTAATAATAAATTACCATACACTAGGGGTGCTACGATCTCAATCTTTGTGTCTCCCACTCCCAAACTCACATGTTGAAATCCTGACTCTCAAGGTGATGGCATTAGCAGATAAAACCTTTGGGAGGTGATTAGGTCATGAGGGTAGAACACTGATAAATGGGATTAGTGTCCTTACAAAAGGGACCCACCAAAGCTCCCTTGTTCCTTCTACTCTGTGAGGACACATCTAGAAGGTGCCATCAATGAACCAGAAAGTGGGCCCTCACCAGACACCAAATCTGCCAGGGCTCTGATCTTGGACTTCCAGCCTCCTGAACTGTGAGAAATAAATTTCTGTTGTTTACAAGTTACCCATTTTATGGTATTTTGTTATAGGCCACATGAACTAAAACAAGTGGATTAAAAACAACACAAATTACTATCTTACTGTCTAGAAATGAGAGATTCAAAATGGGTAAAGTCAGGGTGAAACTGATAGGGCTGCGTTTCTTTTGGAGGCTCTAGGGAAGAAGCTGTTTCCTTGCCTTTGTCAGCTTCCAGAGGCCACCTGTATTCCTTAGTTTATGGTCCCTTGCTACAGCTTTAAAGCCAGCAGCACAGGGTCTTCCAATCTCTCTCTGACAGTGACATTCCTGCCTTCCCCTAATAAAGACCCATGTGATTAGTTTAGGCCCACCTGGATTATCCGAAATAATCCCTCTGTCTTTAGACCCTTAACCACATCTGCAAAATGTCTTTTGTCATGTAAAATAACATCCTTACCTCAAGGTTTTGGGAATTAGCTTATTAATGTCTTTAGGGGGTCATTATTCTGCTTTCCACAAACATTTAAAATTAACTATCAGGCTACAAAAGTCATAAATGAATTGAGCTTGTTTGCCCCAAAGGCTGTGTTCTTTTCTTTTTTTTTTTTTTTTTGGAGCCGGACTCTCACTGTCGCCCAGGCTGGAGTGCAGTGGCACGATCTTGGGTTGCTGCCAACCTCCACCTCCTGGGTTCAAGCGATTCTCCTGCCTCAGCCTCCCAAGTAGCTGGGATTACAGGTGCACACCACCAGGTCCAGCTAGTTTTTGTATCTTTAGTAGAGACAGGGCTTTTCCATGTTGGCCAGGCTGGTCTCCAACTCCTGACCTGAGGTGATCCACCTGCCTCGGCCTCCCAAAGTGCTGGGGTTACAGGTGTGAGCCACCACGCCCTGCCAGCTGTGTTCTTTTACATCATAATACACTGCCTTTTATATCCCTCACTTATTCAATATCATTACCATCCATCATGCTGTCACAAACACAGAGCCCCAAGAAAAGTGGGATACAGGTCATTGAGAATAAATAGTTTTTATAAACTTTTGTTCTTTCTTGTAACTTTTTATCAGTTGACTATTCCAATGAAGCAAAATCTGATAATATATTGCTTTTATACTACTCAGTTGAGACATTCACATCTATTGAGGAGCAATGGGTACCTTGAAGGGGGTTTTTCCTTTCCTTTCATATCCGGTCAATTAGTCATCAATTTCCGCCTTCTGATATAGACACCACTAAAAAATTATATTTTGAAAAAAGAAATTTATTTTCTAAATGAAATTAAAATTACTCTTTATGTGTACTTCTTTTCCTCACACTGGAATTCTCTAGGGACCGTGTAAATGCACGTCACTGTATCTTATGTTGGTATCAGTTATTTAACACAAGATTGCATAAGAAAGTAAGCACGATGCTATGGCTTAGAAGTCATGAGATTCACATAGTTTAATATAAAGCTTCTGTGATAACTGGAGAGTTATTTTGTCACATTTCTCCTCTCATAATTTATGCTTCAGCCATCTCAGATTTCAGGTGTTTTCCCAACTCTGCGATATATTCTCTTCACTCTGGGCCTAACTAAAGAAACGAGAAGACTTCCTTCAACTGGAAGACTTCTTCCTCTACCTCAAATGCCTCACTTTATTTTTTTAATTAATTAATTAATTAATTAATTTTTTCTTTCTTTGAGACGGAGTCTTGCTGTGTCGCCCAGGCTGGAGTACAGTGGCACGATCTCGGCTCACTGCAAACTCTGCTTCCTGGTTTCATGCCATTCTCCTGCCTCAGCCTCCTGAGTAGCTGGGACTACAGGCACCCACCACTGCACCCAGCTAATTTTTTGTATTTTTAGTGGAGACGGGGTTTCACTGTGTCAGCCAGGATGTATTTATTTATTTATTTATTTGAGACAGAGTCTCACTCTGTTGCCCAGGTGGTGCAACCTTGGCTCACTGCAACCTCGGCCTCTAGGGTTCAAGCAATTCTCCTGCCTCAACCTCCCAAGTAGCTGGGATTACAGGTGCAAGCCACCATGCCCAGGTAATTTTTGTATTTTTAGTAGAGATAGGATTTCACCATGTTCGTCAGGCTGATCTTGAACTCCTGACCTCAGGTGATCCACCCACCTTGGCCTCCCAAAGTGCTAAGATTACAGGTGTGAGCCACCATGCCCGGCCTAAATGCCTCACTTTATTTAACTAACTCCAGCTCATTTGATTAGTACTTTCTTGGGAAAACTTCTTCTGGGTTAAGTGCCCTCATTAACTGCTCTCCTAATAAATTATTCTACTGCCATTTACATCTTGTTACAATAAGTCATGCATACCTACTTATTTTTCAGTTTCATATTAACTTCCTTAAAGGAAGGGACATTACACTCAAAGTCCACCTGGCCTGCTGGCTGAAGGGCGTGAAGTTTGAAAATATTTGTTAAATGATTATGGACATCTTTAGGACTTCATGAACTTACTTTCAGTTTAGTTTCCACAAAAGGAGAAACTTACAGCAATGCAGAAACCAAGAGACTGATATGAATAAATGATGTGACTAATTCACAAATACTATGTCATTTGATATTTGACCTTTAAAGTAGTTTTCATATCAGATCTTTTGGTTATGGGTTCTATAGCTTACTGTGAACTTAGACATATTAGTTAGTCCCTCACCCAAGATCATCTGAAAAATAAAGGTACTATCAGCCTCATTAGTTAGTTATGCCAATTAAATAAGAACACATGTTTAAACCTCATATTAATGTGTATGGAGCCTCGTAAGTAGTAATAAGCTGGAGTTTTATGTCGTCACGCCAGGCTAATAACAGTAAAAGTAATAGTAGTTTCACTGGAAGGTCCAAGGTTAGTGTGGAAATTCCAAGATGATGTGAAATTTACCAGGGTTTACCTTCCGTCCCCTTTAAGCTAACAATGAAATCATAAAACGACGTGAAAGGGAAAAGCCTGCCAGTTCGTATCCACTTCTGTGTATGATAATATAACTGGAGAGACATCAGACTCATGCTGAGAACAACTAGAAGGCTAGAGTTGAAGAAAAAGGATTTCATTAAGATTATTAGAGAGTGTTCAAGGCAACTGGAGGGGGAACCAAGATTCTGGAAAGCGGCCACGGAGAAGTGAGTCAGCATTCCAGGAGCCACCCTTCTCTTAGGGGCATCTTGCCAGTGGGTCAGATGCTGAGATTCTGGGGAGAAGGCAGTGGATACCAGGCATTTTTTGCGGGGACAGAAAAATCTCTTCCTAAAGCACTTGAAGGGCCAAAATCCCAAAGAGGAGAGAGGGCCAAAGAAATGAGAAAAATTGTTCTCTCAAGCAATTTTCAAATTGTTAAATTTCACAGGAAAAGAGGTTAGGAAGAACAGTGTGAAAAACAGACTTCAACTTTTGGCAATCACATGTTGTTTAGGAGACAAAACCAAATTCAACTTCCAACAAAGAGAAGCAGCTTTGATCAACAGCAGGTTCTCAGATGGAATTACTAGAAGGCTTTATCATAGGTCCTAGGAAAAACTAGAAAGGATGAAATAGTAAAGAAAAAGATAGATGGAATCTTACAGAAACTGGAACTCAGCCCTAACTCAACTTCGTTTCTATTCGATTAAGGCAATAGCTGTCCAATCTGGAACTTATTTCTCACAGGTAAGGGGGGGACTACTGTACAGAATTCAAAAAACAGGGAAAATCAATTTATGTTGTCAGAGTTAAGACAGAGATTATATTTGGGGTAACGAGCGTTGCAGGACGTGAGTAGGGCACATAGGATGTTGGTATTGTTTTATGTGGTTTTAAGATATACTTCATTTAGGTACTTGTTACATGTTATATTTTTAATTAATGTGTTTAGTTGTACGCTTACGATTTGTGCACATTACTTAATTATATTTTAGTAAAAAGTGCCCTTACCAGCATTTATATACAAAAAATCAACACATCTGACAAGAAGCTCCTGCTGCTAAAGAGCCTCTGTGCTCCTGGATTATTCCAGAAGGAGCACAGAAGCTGCACACCGTTCAGGCCCGTTTTTGAAACTTTGTTGTAGCAGCCATAGCAGCAACTTCCCAAAATATCTTGCAGAAATTGAAAACAAGATATTTTTTGAATGAACATAAACTCTTGGGAATGAATTTTAATTTGAGTTGAAAATTGCTATTGTCTTTACTCACCTAACATTCATTTCCTCTGAGAGTCAACTGCTTCCTTTCAATAAATTCTTATTTTCTATTATGATATTGCTTTGTACCACATAAAATGCAATTATAGTTTTTTAACAGTCAAAACATTTTAAGTTATCAAGCATTTGTTTCTTTTGTAACCAAAATACTGTTGGAGAAGTAGCTTCAACTTTTTTTCTTTTAAATTCTTACAAACATCAGTTTATTCTGTTGTGATGAGCTGATTTTTGAAATAACTTATGTTTTATTTGTTCCTCTAGCTATATTTAACTTAAAGGCTTGAAATTCTGAGTTACGGGGGCAGTTACACACTGACACATTTTAGTCGTTGGGCTTTTTTTGGTTTTGTTTTGTTTTGAATCATTCTTGGGGTTGAAAACATAGACTGTGGTTTAGATCACTCATGGTAACTGGAGGCAAAATGCATGACAGTAACAACATGGAGAAAGACATTGCACCATCCGGATTGCCTGCAAACCCAGGTAAAAGGCTGGGATGTAGAGTAAATGTGAGGACTGGAATGGGAAGGTAGTGGTAGTGATGGGCTCACACAGGTAAGGTACTGATCCAGTAAAAAGTTTTCAAGGATAAGAGATGGAACATGGGAGTCTATAAATTGGCTTATAATTCATGTGAAATATGCATATATTTATATTACCAGTTGTAACCACTAAGGAGAGGGAACAATGAAACATGTAAGACAATGAGATAAGGTTAAGTTTATGATTGAAAATAAAAATAGTGAATTTCACTAAAAAAAAACTACAAACTCTAAAGTGTTACTCAGATACAAGATACTATCATTATTACATAGGTAGAAAACCTACCATGGAAGCTCATAAGAGAGAAAAGGTAGAAAACAGTATGTAAAGGACATTTACAAATCAAAAAAGTAAACAAAGGTTGAAGTAAAAACTTAGGGCATTCTAATGTAATTTTGTTAGATTGGATGCACTGGAACTATATATATATATAGCTTTATAGGATGACTTATATGATGATTTAGCAAGTGAAAAGCTTTATATGATGATTCAGTAAGTGGAAAAAAATGTCTTTTGCTACAGTTAGAGAAAATCAAGGTTTTATAACTCAGGACGTAAAAGTTTGGAGTTTTTTCCCTCCCATCTTAAAAGGTAATCAATTTAGAGAAAACGTAATTCGGAGGGGGAAAAAGATGAACTCTAAATGTTGTTAAATAACTTCATTTGTTTCTTCATTCATTGGGTATTTTGAGCATTTTATACCAACTGCTTCGAAGTATTTGTCAGATAGTTCCAACATCTCTGTGTGTCCCTCCTTGGCTTGTGCTGTCTTTCCCCACGGAAGTTGACATTTTCATGGTTCTTCATATGCTGTGTAATATTGGACTGTAATTTGAACTTTTGAATAAATATTTAGTTAGACTGGATCTTATTTAAATTTTGGAGAATATTGATACTATTGTTTTAGCAAGCAATCACACTGGTGGGATGAAGACAACCTGTGGGATCTGGTTCCAATGTCAGTTCCATTCTGAAAGCCTTTGCAGAGCTATTCAGACATATGCCTCAACCCGGGGTGAAACTGGCAACTGCGCAATGCTGTATTCATTAGGTCGGGTCTTAACATCTTTAGTATGCCAATTAGAAACACATCTAGGCACGCATAAGTTGAGGGGCAGGTGAATCCAGGAGTTTATAAATAATGTTCACGGATCTCTTTCTAACGTTTCTCCCTCTTCACCATCTGACCAGTACTTTCAGGTTCCCAGGGGCTTCTCCTTTCCATCCTCCATGAAACGCGGGGCTCCTTTTATTCCGATGAACCATACACTTCTGCGGTCATTTCTGCATCTTTAAGCTCATGTGGCAGAAGGACAGCGAGAAAGAAGAAAAAAAAGCAAGAGGTTTGGCCCCACTCTCATGGAGCCACAACTCTACCGAATGGAGAGGATTGACTTTTCTTTTCTTTTTATTTCTGAGACGGAGTCTTGCTCTGTCTCCCAGGCTGGAGTGCAGTGGCCGGATCTCAGCTCACTGCAAGCTCCGCCTCCCGGGTTTCCGCCATTCTCCTGCCTCAGCCTCCCGAGTAGCTGGGACTACAGGCGCCCACCACCTCGCCCGGCTAGTTTTTTGCATTTTTTAGTAGAGACGGGGTTTCACCGTGTTAGCCAGGATGGTCTCGATCTCCTGACCTCGTGATCCGCCTGCCTCGGCCTCCCAAAGTGCTGGGATTACAGGCGTGGGCCACCGCGCCTGGCCGAGGATTTACCTTTCTCAAGGTTTTGGCTATTGCATGTTGCTGTAGTTTCCACTACTATCATCAGATTGCCTGAGGTTTGAGGCACATGACAGTGTAGACAAGAGCGAGGGAGAAAAAATAAATGTGGTGTTTTCATACTCTATTTGAGGTAGGAGTTTGCTTTTTTGTTCCTCAGACCATACCTCTAGTGATTCTCCTGGAGCCCTCTCTATTTTTATGCTGACAGATGCTCAATTCCATGTTTCTGGCTGTATTAACTTTAGGGCATGATATTAGAGGAGGGAAATTTAAATTCACCACTGGTTTGATGGCTCTTTAAATTTGAATATTCTTGTAAGATCTGCTGCTAGTATATCCTTTTTCCTTTTGCACTTTTTTTTGGTTTAAAGACCATATATTTAGAGCCATTTTGGGATCACAGCAAAATTGTGAGAAAGACAGTTTTTTTGTTGTTGTTTGTTTTTCATTTTCTCCTTGTTGCCACACATACATAGACTCTGTCTTAGCCTGTTTTGTGCTGCTATTACAGAATACCCGAGACTAGGTAATTTATAATGAACAAAATCTATTGGCTCATAGTTCTGGAGGCTGGAAAGTTCAAGACTGAGAGACACATCTGGTGAGGGCCTTTTTGCGCCATCATCCCATGGCAGAATTTGGAAGGGCAAGAGAGCACATGCATAAGAAAGAGAGAGAGCAAGAGGCACCAAACTTGCTTTGATAACAAATCTACTTTCGTGATAGTAAACCCACTCCCATTATAAGGACATTATGACCTGATTCCCTCTTGAAAGGCCCACCTCTCAACACTATTGCATTGGGGACCAAGTGACTAACACATGAACTTTGGAGACGCATTCAAACCATAGCAGTCTCTAACATCAACGTTCTTCACCGGCAGTACATTTATTACAATTAATAAACCGACACTGGCATATCGTAGTCACTCGAAATTCACAGTCTGATGGGCTTCCCTTTGTCAGTGACCTGACCTATCTCCCTGACTGCCCTTAATATTTTTTCTTCCATTTTGACCTTGGAGTATCTGATGATTATGTGTCTTGTGGTTGATCGTCTCATGAAGTATCTTATTGGGGATTTCCTGAATTTGAATGTTGGCCTGTCTTGCTAGGTTGGGGAAGTTCTCCTGGGTTATATCCTGAAGTGTGTTTTCCAACTTGGTTCCATCCTCCCTGGCTCTTTCAAGTACTCCAATCAGTGGTAGGTTCAGTCTTTTTACATAGTCCCGTAGTTCTTGGAGGTTTTGTTCATTCCTTTTCATTCTTTTTTCTCTAGTCTTGTCTGTCTGCCTTATTTCAGCAAGATAGTCTTTAAGCTCTGGTATTTTCTCTTCTGCTTGGTCAATTCGGCTATTGATACTTGTGTTTGCATCATGATGTTCTCGTGCTGTGTTTTTCAGCTCCATCAGGTCATTTATGCTCTCGCTAAACTGGTTATTCTGGTTAACAGCTCCTGTAATCTTTTATCATGCTTCTTAGCTTCTTTGCATTGGGTTAGAACATAATGCTGTAGCTCGGAGAAATTCATTATTACCTACTTTCTGAAGCCTACTTCTGTCAGTTCATCCATCTCAGCTTCAGCCTCGTTCTATGCCCTCACTGGAGAAGTGTCGCGATCATTTGGAAGAGAAGAGGCATTCTGGCTTTTGGAATTTTCAGGGTTTTTGCATTGTTTTTTTCCTCATCTTTGTGGATTTATCCACCTTTGATCTTTGAGGCTGATGACCTTTGAATGGGGTTTTTGTGGAGTCTTTTTGGTTGATGTTGTCTTTGTTACTTTCTGTTGGTTTGTGTATCTTCTAACAGGCAGCCTTTCTGCTGCAGATCTGCTGCAGTTTGCTGAGGATCCACTCCAGACCCTGTTCACCTGGGTATCACCAGTGGAGGCTGCAGAACAGCAGATCGCTGCCTGCTTCTTCCTTCAGAAGTTTCACCCCAGAGGGACCCTGGCCTGATGCCAGCTGGAACGCTTCTGTATGAGGTGTCTGGTGACCCTTGTTGGGAAGTCTCACCCAGTCAGGAGGCACAGGATCAAGGACCCGCTTCTGTAGAGAGTCTGATGTTCCCTTAGCAGAGCTGGTGTGCTGTGCTGGGGGAATCCTGCTCACCCGGTGCATCTGGTCTCTTCAGAGCCAGCAGGAAAGATTTAGTCCGCTGAATCTGAAACTGCCTCTCCCCTCAGGTACTCTGACTCAGGGAGATGAGAGTTCTGTCTGTAAGCCCCTGATTGAAGCTGCTGGAATGCTTGCAGGAATGGCCCGCCTGGTGAGGAGGGATGGCTCAGGGTCCCACCTAAAGAGGCAGTCTGGCCACAACCTGCCACAGCACTTTGCTGCACTGTGGGAAATTTGGCCCAGTCCAAACCTCTCAGGCTCCTTTGCACTGTCAGGGGCAAACCGCCAACTAATGGTGGTCACCCCTCCCCGCAGGAACTTGGTCATTCCAGGCACACTCCTGACTACTCTGCTGGCAGCGGGGATCTCAAGTCAGTGGGTCTTAGCTGGCAGGGATCCACGGGAGTAGAACCCACTGATTGAGACTGCTGGGCTCTCCTCCTTGGCTTCAGCTCCCTTTCTATGGGACTGGATGGTTCTCCTGCCTCACTGGAGTTCCACCACCACTGGAGCATGTAAAAACTCCTGCAGCTCAGGGCCTGCCTAAACAACCACCAATGGGAGTGACTGTCATTGGTTTGCCCAAGTTTGTGCTTGAGACCCAGGGCCCTGGTGGTGTAGGCTCATGAGGGAATCTTCTGATCTGCAGATTGCAAAAATCTGTGGGAGAAGCATAGTACCCCTGGTGGGTAGGACAGACCCTCCCCACTTCCCTTACCTCAGGGAGGCAGGTCTCCCCACCCTGTGCAACTCCTGGGTGAAGTCACACCCCACCTGCTTTCTCCTTGCTTTCTGTGGGTTGCACCAGCTGCCCAATGAGATGAACTTGGTACGTCAGATGGAGATGCAGAATTCACCTGCCTTCCACATTCATCTCACTGGGAGCTTCAGACCAGAGCTGTTTCTGTTTGGCCATTTTGGCCCCTCCCATCAAGTACGTTTTCTTTTGTAAGAAACTGCCAAAGTGGCTGTAGCATTTAGCTTTCTTACCAGTAATGCATGAGACTTCCGGTTGCTCCACATCCTTGCCAGCATTTGATATTGTTTGTGTTTTAATGTAACACTTAAGTAATATGTAGTGATATCTCATTGTTTTAACTTGCAATT